GAGCTGCTGAGGTTAAGAGTGGAGGGCCAGTCTTAACTTAAACTGGGGTTATATACAGATTAAACCATATTTATTACCAGCGATTTTTCTTGTTAATATATATATTTTTTTCGCTTCCTGTATCACATRCTGTATTGTTTTTGAGTCATATTTCAGGGGCATTAGAAGTTGGGGCTTAGCTGCTCCCCCCTTAAAGCCGTCAGAACGTTCCTGCTCGGGTCAGTGGGGCARTATTTGGCCCCCTCTCCAAAGCGAGGCTTAGGCTGCGCTCCAGGGAGTACTTGGGCTGGCCTTAAGGGGGTCTCGGGCCGAGCTTAGGGGGTCTCCGCTTGACGGATGGGTCACTGGTTGGTCTGGCCTGGGGGGGTGTTCGGGAGGGTCCTTCCATGGGAAGGTGCCGGGGTGATTCCCAAAGGGACATTTTCCACACTGGCCCCAGGCTGTTGCCCTCGCTTAACAGCGGGACTCACTTCCCAAATCCGAGGTGTTTTCCACCTGCTCATCAAAAAACCCGAAAGAGTGAATGTTGAGCAGCAAGACTGGAATTTTGAGATTTCTTTTGCTGTGATAYTAAAAATTGTCCGGTCTGAGAACAGATCCTCATTTCATCATGTCATTTTGGTTATTATTACCATTTTGCTTTTTGTTTTATTTCCTTTTAAAGAACTTTGTGAAATGAAGGAAAATGCGGGATATGGATTTCATCAGTAATTTTTTTCTGTTCACTTTATKATTTTTAGGGAGAATGTTGTTACACTACGACGGTTTTTTAATGTATTTACAGTGTACTCTTTGCCTAACCCTGTAAATTTTGAAATGTAACTACTGTAACCTGGAATAAATAAACAAATAAAAATCGTAGCAAAGTGTTTCATGTTACTACACAATATGTTAAAAGCAAAGGTTCCTCCATCCTCCTTTTGGGAATTATTTTAGAGCTCAGCCAGTTCAGGCCATTCAAACTGCCCGTGCTTTATGAAACTGTAGCTCTGGATGTTGTCTTAATAATACCAGGTTTGTAGTATTTACCTGAAACCTAGGCTGTCCTGTCAGCTTGTAGTCTTAAATGGGAAGCTGTTCGGTTTGGATCGAAGTTGCTGATTTGTCTCCTGGGAAATGATCCTCTTAAAGCAGGATGGGGTCGGTGGGTGTCAGGTTTTGGCCTGCAGCCTGCCGTGCTTCACTGCTGTAGTGAGTGGTCGTCAAAATTACGTGGTTGTAAAAGTCCATTTCGTGCTTTGCCTCATCGTAAATGGAATTATTGGGGCGAACGCCATCCCTGAGGCTGGGGTTCAGTTCGTTGCCCTGCAGCCCTCTCAGAATGAGGTGCCTTGGCTGGGCTCTCGCTGCTTATGGGGCTGCTGAAATGACTCAAACATCCCCAAAAAGGGACTCGCTGACCTCTCTTGTAGACCCCCAGGTTTCCTCCTCTCTTCCCGGATGAGGCTCTTTGCCCCCGGAGTTCCTCGCACTGTCGATTATCCAGGGACTGTTGATCRTAGATGCCTGGCGGAGGCTCCATGCCCGATTTTAGGACACCTAAATAGAGATGATGACAGGTTAATGACTAAATTCCCCTGCAGCTCCTGCTAGCTCATGTTTTCCTTGCTGCTCATATGATGAAGTGACCTAATATTGTGGTGCGGTCRCTGTGCTTGGTAGAGGATGATGTTTTTGACCTATACCTGCAATTTTAAGGTAGATTTTTGCAGCAGCGACACCGTCCCCTGCCTGGGCCATTGCAGGGACTTGGGGGGCTGTGGGAATGTCTCTGTTAGAGCAGTTCAAGTCCCAGGATTCTGAGATGTGGCTCTGGGCAAAGCAAATGTGCAGCTGTGGCATTTGCTGCCTTGCAAACTTAAAATTTCATACGTATAGACATGGATTTTTATGCATGTGGCTTTTCCTTCAGTTGTCTTGAGTGGCATCAGTTTTGCAGAGCTCTGTAAATCAAGGGACAATTGGGCTCTTGGAAACTTTAGCCCCATGTCAACCTTTACCTCTCAGTTCCTGCCCCAAAATTCGGACAAGTCTTTCCCTTCCACATTAGTGCTAAATGTCAACAGCTCCGCTTTGCTGCTGGTGCTTATTGACTTTCAGCCTTGTCTTTTTTTAAGCATTTATTGCTTTAATGATGAATTAAAGCCTATCACCAATGTACTGTAACATTTTGGCTGCCTTAGGTTCTTGGAGGAATTGATTTTTCTTAAATATATCRCTTAATTTAATAACCAAATTAATAAGCAAAAGAACTCCCTTTGAGGAGAGAGTCCTGGTTGCTTTTTTTTTTATTTATTTATGAAGAAATTGCAGCTTTTTCATATTTTAGGCATTTATTGCTTATTCCTTCTTTTACGCGTGCCAAGAACCCAAGGATTTTGCTGCGTTTTATGGCCTTGAGCTTGGCCGGATGGGTCGTTTCCTGGTGTTGGGTGCGGATGGCCTTGATATCAGGGCACCTTTTGTTTCCAAACATGATTTTGAAAGACAAGGCTGAGAAAAGCAGAAAAATACACCTGTGCTGTGAATATTTTGTAAGTAGTCAGCTTGTTTTCTCCTGATCCTTAAGCTGGTGCCTGTTACGCTGACAAATATAATTACAGTATGTAAATTATATTGAAAATATTTTTGTCTGTTTGATGCATACTAAATTTAAGCTAAGTTATAAGGTGTGCTGTTTGGAAGTGTGGAAGATACAAGAGTGGAGCTACAGATAACAAGTTTATGCTTGTATTTCCTTCTGATGAAGACTTTCACACAAGTTATTTCTATGGGTAGGTGATGAGAATATCACTCTGCATGTATATACATTTATTATACATTTTTGCATGATTATACATGTAGGAGTGGTACAATTTTGACTTGAGACTATTGGTGCTTTTTGTCCAAATACAATTTTACTTGCTGTAGACCTGTAATCTAAATTAATTTTTGCTGATGCTTTTTGGAGATTTTAATAAGGAGAGAAACAAAAATCTGAAGGAATCGTATAGAGCTCCAGAAATTTTAGATAACCTGCTGTAAAAAAAATGGTCAAATAGTCAATATTGTACTTGACCCTCGTATCTTCTGCACTCAACTGTTTATTTTGATAAATCTCACAATATATGTTCACGCTGAACTCTGATGATGAGACTGAACACATTCCCCTCCGTGTTTCAGTCCAGCTGTAGCTTCTGCATGTAGTTGAGTCACAGACCTGCTCAAATAATTAACCAAGTTTAATTTTAATTTTAAACTTGATCTTCCATTATTTTGTAATTGTCTTTACAAAGCAGAAAATTGTCTTTCAGTTAATTATCCGTATGTTTTTCCCCCAGTCATAATCATCAGTGTTTCATGTTGCAAACAGTTTGGTCTTTAATACATTGACATTTAACTACTCATTTATTTTTGTTGGGTCTGTTTTAAGTTTGTAAAATAACATTGTTTTGCGAAATTGTTAATTTGGAGGCAGGGCTGATCTGAAGGATTTTGTGTATTTTCCTCATACCTGGCTGCAAAACTGATCKTTAGCAGAACCTAAGCAATAAGGTCACTCTTTAACGAAGTGTGTTGCTAACCTCAAAACAGGAATTTCTTAAAACTTTGTGTCGAATTATGTTTCAGGAAKTAAGTTAAAAACACAACAAGCACCTTAATAGAAACAGCTCTTTCRGCTAACTAAATTTTAAGGTTCTGGTTCATACTGTTCTTTCATCTTCAGCAACAGGCATCTAACACCAGCCTTTCCTTAAATTCTTGTTTTTCTCTAATCCCTTTATAACTGTGAAGGTCGCATCTTTCTAAGGACATTATTAGTGGGCTGTATTAATTATAAACTTCTTTATATACCATACCTCATAAAGGCAAAGCCCTTCACACGTTCAGCTCTGAAGACTGATTTATTGCATTACAGTACCCAGGCAGCTGAGCTCTGGCCAAATTATTTTTCCATTTGATCCTCATTTCTGTGGGTGAAGTGCCAGCCCAAATGACGTTTTGGTTCTGTCATTCGGGGAATGAGAACTCCAGGCTTTTTCACCTACTCTGAATCCATAAACTGTAATCATTCAATGAGACACTATATTTGAATTAAAATATGCTTCCTTTTAAAATATGCTATTTATTCATTCTCTCTTTGCTTCCACATTAATTCTTGCCTTGAATTCGACTTCATTCTGAGCCTCCTTTGTTTCTAGCATGCTTTCTAATTGCAAGCTATTTTCATTCCTCACAAAGAAAATATTCCATTCTAACAAAACAGACCAAAGATTATCCTTTTGTTGTTCCTCGCTCATTGTTATCAGAGTCTTGTAAGAGAAAATCTCTCCCTCTTTACTTTGGTGGCCAAAAGGCTWGCAGGGTGAACGTACAGAATTGCAAGTAATTTATCACTGCTCATTATAGTTTTGTTTTGTGTTATTTTTTTATCCCGAGAAAGAGCAAAAGCAAGAAAACATTGCAGTTAGGAAAAAAAAAAATCTCCTGTCCTTGACGGGAGAATGTTATGTAAGRAATCTTGTCTGATGGTAAATTTATTGTAACTGGATCAGTTCTAGCAGAAAGTTAATTTTATCAGCCCTTAGGTAACGTCACCTGAGTTTTGTAAAATKCTCCAGTGAAGTATCTTCTCTTGCCAAATTTAATGTCCTGTAATTCAGAACATAATTCCTCATTTCACACAGAAGGACTTTATCCTTTTAGGATTGTAACTGCGATGTTGTCAGATATGGAGACGTTTATGTGTTCATGTAAAGGATAGCATCCAAATAACTGATACGATGACAAGACAAGCTTAAACGTCTATTTTTCCTATGTCTGCTTTCTGTGTATGCAAACATTAAAATGTCTCTGTAATATCAGACTGTGTTCATTAACTAAAGCTTAACAACTGATAGTTCATTAAGAACTTACTGTAGGAGAATGGATTGATCCTAAAACAAGTTGTTCACACTTTTAAAAGTCTCTTCCACATTGTTTGGGTTTCTCATACCCATTGCTTCTCTTTCCTTCCGCAGATGGCCCTCCAGTCGTGGCTCACTACGATATATCGGACACAAACTCAGACCCAGAGGTGGTCAACGTGGACAACCTGCTGGCGGCTGCAGTAGTTCAAGAGCACAATAATTCCGTAGCAAATCAGGACGCGGGATCTACCTGGAGGACCAGAGGGCTGCTAGACGAGCTGAGCACTGACACAGGTTGGTTTGAGTTCTCCTCCTCTGAGGTTTCTGCCGGCATCTCAGCCAGGATCCTGCCTTCCTTTCAGTGCTTTATGGAGCCTTCCTTTCAGTGCTTTATGGGGCTTTAAAAGCACCTCGTTTGCATCCTACGATAAAACAGTTAAGGTGTTTATAAAAGTTTCTGACACTTATCCCATCACACAGCTGATGAGAACTGACAAAAACTCCTGCAATGTATTCTCTCCACCCCCCCTTTTTTGTTGTTTGTTTTGTTTTTTTCTACTCTTTACCCCTGTAGTATCTGGAATTTAAATTGGGGTACATGGGAGGATTGCTGTGTATTTTATAGGAGGATGAGCAAAGTAATACTAAAGGGTTGGTTACAATCACCCTGCCCTCAGCTAGTCAGCCGATCAACATACCAGTAAAAAATGCAATCAAAATCTCATTTTACATATTTCAGATTTTTTTTTTTTTTTTGTATTTGTCTTTTTTGACCTTCCTGTTTGTCTTTTTTATTTCCTTAAAATACAAACATTGTCTGATGCCATCTGCATTTTTAACATGCTGTAGGAGCCTGGACGTGCCAGCACCAGGTATGGAGGACGAGAAGGAGCTGGTCAGAGGGCTTAGTGAGCATCGAAAGACAGCAAAAGAAGTTAGTTTTAAGAAAGGAAAAGCTGGAGAATTGTGGGAGGATTTGAAATGAAGTGCATATACCTCAAAAACTTCAGTTTCACCTAATTCTTGGATCTCATCCCTAATGAAAAGGTTAAACAACATGAAATGCTACTTGCTAGGAGTGTTTTGGATGCAGAGAATTAGGGGGAAATACTTCGTGTCCACTTGTATCAGCAAGTATGAATATTATGTGGGATTTCAAATGGACTAGCCTCRATAAAATGAGGTTGAAAATGGTTTGAAAATGAGAAGATATGGAAATAATGTTGTCTATGATGTGGTTAAAGTGACCTCCTAAGAGCTTTTTTTTTTCTTTTTTTTTTTTAACTTTTAAGAAATCAGAAGTTTAAGATCTCTTGTTAGGACCTGGGCTATTTGCTAGAGGCTTTTTGTGCACAAAAAATATACATTAGTAAATGGGGGAGTAATAAATCATAAAAGATGTGTTCTACCATTACACAATGGAAAAGTCCATTGTATGAAGGCAAGTTACTATGCATTCTTTTTTTACTCTGGTCTTTGGTTGGATACAGTCTTTTAAACTGGCCTATGTTTTCCAAGTTCCCTGGTATTTTTAGCCGTTGGATTCTTGACAAGCCCAACGCTTTATTAAATGATTTATTAAATTATTAAAACAGCTGAAATTGACATTATTATATAGCATTAATGTTCTGGTACCTTAGTAGAAAGAAAGAACTGAAAAATACAAGTTTCTTACCAAGCTTCCTTCTGCTTTGCTCTCATGTTTCCAGTGATGTGCTGGTTATTTGTTTTTCCTCCTCCACCTGTAGCCGAGCAGCCAGCCTTTTGGAAGGAAGGACTTGCCGGGAAAAAGAAACCTAGAAAACTTCATGAAACTTCCTTATCCCTCAGTTTGTGAGAGCTTTTCCCGGCAAATTCTTTCCCGATGTTGGGTCTGTCTCATGTTCTAAAAGGATGAATGTGTTTTTCTTCCTGTCCCCCGGAGCTGTGTGTGCTCAGTGCACTCTGACGCTGAAATATATGTCGGTCTGACCTTTCCTTACCACAGCTGGGGCTGCTCRTTTGGAAAGCCGAGTTTTCAGATCGTGCAGCTTGTTCCCACCTTAATCATAAACCAGCATCTGGTTCGTCAGACTTCAAGTGATATATTCACATGGGAAAAAAAATAACGTAAGCATTATCTGCGTGAAATATCTTACTGGGGCACATTGTCAAATCTTTGCGGATGGACAAATGTTTGCGGCTTCTTTGCAGCTTCTGATGATAAGGGGTAAACAAAACGTCTGCTTTGGGCGTCATCTGGCCCGAAGATGTTAGTCCGAGGGAAATAACAGCATAGGCAGCTAACTAGGCGTGGAATTAGCGTGGGCACGGGCCGCCCTGTGCAGAAACCARTGTGCGTGCTGCAATCTGCATTGCGCTGCGCTGCTAACTGCAATATTTACTTTGCTAATCGTGGTTTCTCTAGTGCCGACTTCCTTGTTGTTGTCTGGACGTCGGCAGTGGTCAACCCGTGGCCACCCAACAGTGTCCGTGGGCTCTGGCTTCCAGCTCCGGCCATGGAGCCCCTCCATTCCCTGTGTCACCAGTGCACCCAGCTGCTGCCACTCAGGAAACGCGCCCGCTCCCTTTGGAGCCTTCCGACAGTCGCTGACATTTACTGAGGGATGTGCAGCTGAGCTGCAATTTTAGGAAAAGTCCATCTTGTCTCCGTTATTTAAGCTCAGCTAACAGATGTGCCTTGTCTGGTGAGGTGGAAAGCCCTTCCTCCCGTGCATTATGGCACACGGCTTCCCTGCTCTTTCTAGCCCTGCTGACACACTGCGGCAAGCGCCCTCATTTGCCAAAGCTAGTGAACATACTGTGCAGTGTCTAACCTTTCCTTTGGTGCTTACATCTTTTCTGAATAGTTTAAAGAGGCATTAGAACATTTTCTTCACTTTTTCTAATTAATTTTTACTTTTTTTTTTTCTAAATTAATTTCTTTGGTCTTTCATCCTCTGCCCCGTGGTATAATCAGTTCTGCCTGTATTCACAATTGAGAACATTATTGCATGTACCTCCTCTCACCTTTGAGGAGGTGCCCAGGCAAACTAGGTAGGTATAATATGTCCAGTTAATTTTTTTGTGCTCTAAAAATGGTTCTTCTCCTTTGTAATGTGCTTTTAGTTTCATCTCCTTCCAGGCATCTCAGTTTCTCCACTACTACTGAARAGACATAACAAAGTGCTGAAATAGTTTATTTTGTGTAAAATAAGTAATGACTTTACGTATTTTGTGGGTTTTTTGCAAATATATATAATGTTTCACAATGCCCCATCACTAACTGCAATTAAGCACTTTATTAGCAGTGCTAGCAGTAAAGCCTGCAACATTCCCTTAGAGATTTTAGAAAGGAATAGTTGCTTGATAAACCAGTTAACTTTGATAGCCATTGTAGTTACATTGTAACTGTAATACAAGAGCAACTCTGCTGCATATAGAGCTCATGAAAAATATAATTTTTTTCATGAAGAATTCTTAAGTGGAATATTTTTGTGCAYGGCATCTATAATTAAAAACGGTCCATTATCATGCTTATATTTCTTAAATTACCCAAGGGTACTTGCAAAACTATTAGAGCAGTATGACATGAATGTGATGGCATAGTCTCTTATTTAGCATTGTATTTCGCCTTAAAGAAACATGAATCAATTTAGTCCTAAAGACAAGTATACCCTTAACCAAAATCTTCCTCAGCATCTTGGGAATAAAAAACAAATTTAACAACTGCCTAAGTTTGTCTGTATATCCTGCTTATCTCCATTAGAAGGAGAATCATTTTTGAGTAAGATCATGGAATCCTTAAGGTTGGAAGGGACCTTTTAGAGATGATCTAGTCCAACCCCCCTGTAAGATAAAGCTAAAACTTTATTATGATAAACCTAGTTTTCATAACTGTTCTCCATGCTAAGACTAGTTTCCAGTTAGACTGCTGATTTTCATGCTCCTTCCCTAGAATTTCAATTCGCTCTCTAGATCTCCACGTACTTTTACTGGTCACCTGTGCTGGAGAGGGCTGAGGTTGCACTGGTGGCCTCAGTGTGGCTGTGTATCATACTGTTTGTGTTTGTAGTTACTTGAATATGTTTTTTATTCAAAACCTCTCTTTTTGTGAGAGAGACCATTCAGCTCAATTATAGSTCCTAATGAGCATGTTATGGTGATGTTCCCTGCGCCCCACTCCTCTAGTGCCTGGAAGATACCTGCCAAATGGGTAATGAACTGAAGGCCAAGGGCAAATTCCTGGGGAGGGAGTTCAGGGTCCCACTAAAGATCTTCAAACATTGCAGTCAACTGGTGAATCTGTGAAGCTTTTGCCATCTACGACTTCTTCCTGGAAGGAGGTACCGGAAACGTCTGGCTGGTGGAAAAGTCTTAGTTTGCAGGAGACATGGTTGGCTTTGGRCTGTTAGATGTGTGGAAGAGTGAGACAGAAACTGATGACTTTGTTGTTTTTCACTGATTTACTTCCCCTGGTTTAGAAAAATAACGATGCTGAGACAATAGGGCTTTCTTTTCCCTTAGTTTATGTGATGTTTCCATTCATCCTTAGACTTTCTTTGTCACAATAACATTGGCTTTGATTTATTGACAGTAGTTTGTCATGTTGCTCTATGTCAAAGCTGTTTAGCAACAGTTTAGGTCTTAGCACTGTTGTAAAGCAACAACTGGAAGACTAATGACAGCTGAAACAGATGTTGTGGACACAGTGGTTGGACCACTGGGACCTAGTGCATCACTAGAGCAACTGAGGTTGGATAAATGCAGTGATTATCATGTGTCAAGATGTTATGCGAACTGAGGGTTCAATATGAAGATCTAATAAGATTTGATCTTACGGGATTTTATTGTTTGAGAAATTTTATTGTTTGAGAAATGCTTTTCACAGCTGATTTCTGAGCCATTAAGCTGTTAACATTGGTCTGTATTTGCRTTTTCCCAACCTATAGGTCATTTGGATCCGGGATTCCTTGCAAGTGACAAAACCTCTCCTGGTAATGCCCAGATCAATGAAGAAATTAATATTGCCTCTTCTGATAGCGAAGTAGAGATTGTTGGAGTTCAGGAACATGCTAGGTATGAATTCGTTTTTCTTCCTTCTTTGGTTTAAATATCTTTAACATTGTATTAGAATATGCATATTTTAGAATTAACAAAGAAAAAATTTGCTGGCTTTCAGTTCTGTTTTTATCCCTCTATATCTGGTGTGCAAAAGGTAGCAAACGTTGCACTTTTCCTATTCTGCTGGACATGGTAATGTCAAAAAGTGTTTTTCTTCAGAATTTTTGTTATCTTGATAGATATTTAGATTCAGCTTGTGAATGAATATCAAACAGTAAAAGGCTAAACATACACAATATTGAAACGAGATTCCAAATTCATATACATAATCACATAAATGAAAACATATATTACTGGTTCTTGTTTCCTTTCAAAATATTCACTTTAAGCATTTAAATACTCTCCAATTCAAGTAATTAATCAGTTGCCCTAGGAATAAAAATACTATGACTTTTGTAGTGGCTAGCATGATAAGATAGCACCTTTAGTCTAGGAATACATCATTATGAATCTTCATTTTATCTCAAGATACAAGACAGTTCAAACCGCCCAAACTAGATCGGAGATAAGGAAGAGGAGGTAGATCAGAGATAAGAAAAGATCAGAGATAAGGAAGATCAGAGATAAGGAAGCAAGAGGCTCTCACGTTCCAGTAGCTGGCCAGATCTTCAGCTCTTGCTCTAGCTAGGCTTGCTTTGATGGCTCTTTTCATCATTAGTCCATGGTTTTTCCTCGGTTTAAGGTTTAGCAGCTGCACAAGACTGGCATTTTCATCTAGTGTGGAGAGGGAAGCTCCTAAAGCTGTGGTGGTGAACACACAAGCACACTATCTAAAAGTAGCCTCCTGCCTGATGGATGTCTGGAGGATGCAAAGGAGCTTGAGGGGCAAGGAACAGAGCTTTCGCTCACTGTTCCTTCACCCTGTCTGTCTCGAGAAAGGAAAGAAGGTGTGCAGGACCTAAGTCCAGGCCTTCTGGATGTGAAGGGAAAGAAAAAAAAGATTTCTTAAGTGCTGAGAGAAGAGAGACTTGGTCATAACTTCTAGAAAACAAAGTATTTCCATAACAAGCTCTTTTGGAGGATACAACTTTCTAGGAACGAGCCCTCCTGGCTGTTTATCCAGCAGTTCCCGTGCTGAAGCAATCTTTGTCCCCAGGATCAGTCCTGGACTGATGAAGGACGTGTCCTTCATTGCTAGCTTGTGCGTGTCCAGCCCTAAATACACACAGCCCTTCTGCTTGAGGTGCCCCTTACAAAACACTGTCCACGCCAGTTGCCTCAGTAATATTTGATGTGTGCAACAATGGGGATGTTAAATAAATGTACAGTTGCTCTTTTCAGTTAGTTTTGGTTGATATGGACCTGTTTGTGTGGAAATAAGAACTCGTGCTGTTCTGCAAAGAAGCCAAACATACAAGGCACGGTTTTTGCAGCACCTTTTCCTGGTGCTCACGTTTGCTCATGTAACTGCTGTGCCCTCTATCAAAGACCAGTTCTTGCTGGGACCAATGAATACTTGCACATTTTGGTTGCTTGAATCCTATTTAGAATTTTATTTCTCTTGCAGGTCTAGGCTTGCAGTTATGAAGTATTGATGGGCTTCTGACAGGGTTGTCGTTTGGACAAGGTTTAGGTTTTYGATCAGTATTTTTGCATGCTTAGTTAGTATGATGTTTCGATTCAGTTCTTCTGCTCACACTATTTTATTTCATTCTTTTTTTACCATGCTCCATATTTCATATTGTTGTTGAATTGGTGTGAGTTGTGAAGCTCTTGAGTTTGTCTATGATTTGTAGTTTCCCAGATTGCTATTGAAGTGGTGGTGTTTCTCATGATTAGAATATTACTTGCCATTTACTTAGGACACCAAATCATATTTTGCACTTTAATTTTTGTCCTGTAGCCTTTTTATCATGCATGTGTACAAAGCAGTGCTCCTTTTGCTCCCCCCTTTTTTTTGTTTATTTTTTCTTTTGTTTTATTGCCTTTCCCTGATATCTTTCCCTTAGTTACAGGTTGGAAAGCATGTTCCTTAAGCTAATGTTTGATTGAACGTTTTGCTCTCGGCTGCTTGTGTGACTTGTTTGAGGATATACACTTTTATTTTTGCAAGATATCATTTCAAAGAGGAAATGCATAGACTACTTTTTGTCATCTTCAGGAAGAAAAGTTAATAGTAGCTTTGCATAAGCTCTGAGATGACTGTTTCATATCAGAACAATGGACCATATATATATATATATAAAAAACATGTTGCATATAGTTTGGTTCAGTCTTTTCTTGTCAGTTATGCTTACAGATATTTATTCTAAAAAAGAAAGTTTTCTTTTTAAAAGCTACATTTGTTAGTCTCTTATTATGCAATTTTTGTAGGTACGTGTTTTAAGTCCGTAATTTAAAACCAAGAGAGTAATAGAAAAGTCATTCTGAAGATCACATCCAAAATGAAACAGCATATCTGAGAAGGAAATGTGGTATTTTTATCCCGAAACATTAGAGCTTGGAGAATGAGATTTTTCACTCTGTTTCATGAAACCATCTCCAACCTGAGAGAAGATGAACAAAACTTCTGGAGCGCTGGCTGTGAAGTTTCCMTAGCACTTGCTTAAGATTTCCAGCTGCGGAGGGGCAGTCTTAAAGACTCCACTAAATTATTCAGTTCATCATATAGCAAATTCAATATTTTTTTCTTTTTTTTTTTCCTGATTACTATTATTTTGACTCACTTGTCACATATCCATTTTTGGTGTATCAAGTGAAAACACTGTGCAAGTAAGTAGATGTGTGCCTCAGTTCAGCAAGGCACTTCAGTGTGTGCTTGTCTTTAAATGCTTTATTTAGTCTCATTGACTATGGTTACTGAAAGCTTAAATGTTCTGCTGAAGTGGGGCTGTACTGAGACACGGGGAGCATTTCCCAATACGTTTGTAATTTTTGAGTAAAGATGACCAAGGCAAAATCAAGTGTATTAGTTGTAGCAATGTAGATACAAGACAGCTCTTGTAATTACTGTACTGAAAGTATCATTATGTCCTTATTTGAGCATGGCTTTGATTCCATACACAAAGAAATCTTTTCTCTTTAGTTCATCAAGTTTTTGTCACTTTTTTTTTTTCTCTTTTTTAAAGTGCGGAGGGTAAAATTACTAGCAGGAAACCTTCTGAATAGTGCATGGCACTGCATACGCTGGGCTGACTTCTTCAAGACCCTTGGGAGCCACGCACACGTTTCATAAGCACCATTACACCCACTGGCAAAAAAAAATAATTTTTTAAAGAAAAAAACAAGCAAAGAGCATAAACTTAAGTTTAGCTTCCTGGTCAACTTGCAGATCACTAGTTAATTTCAAGTGTCATCAACTCTACACATGGAAAAGCCCCGAGGAAACTTTGGAGAGGGACCTTAGAGCAAGCGGCGAGAGTGATTTAACAAAAAGCAGCAAAGCTGTTTCTCCAAGAAGTGAATCCTGGCTTGAATCCTGTTTGCTCTTTGCCTTGCTGCAGGTGTGTGCACCCTCGGGGAGGCGTGATCCAGAGTGTGTCTTCCTGGAAGCACGGCTCGGGCTCGCAGTACATCAGCGCTCAGCCGGCGCAGTCATGGACAGCTGTGGCTCCCCAGCAGAATTGGTCTTCGCCCCCAGAAGTTGTCGACCTCACTCTGGATGAGGACACCAGGCGCAAATACCTACTGTAATGCAGTGTCCCTGTGTTTGGGCCCCCGTCCCCTCTCCCCTTTGTGGCACACAGGCTCATTGCTGTAGCTTCAGCTTCCGAGGCCCTAATYGCCGGCGTTACGGAAGTCAAACTCACGAGGATTTCCATTTCCGTAAGAATGTAGTGTAATTCTAATATCGTTCAAAACATTTCTTTTTTTCGTTTGTTTTCAGCCTTCTCAAAGGAGGATTCTTCCGATAACTAAGACCCAATAGCTCCAAATTCACAGCACATCTGCAGTTCCTAATTTTGTGTGTGTGTTAATCCGAAGAAGCAATCATGTACCAAGTTCTGCTCTGCCACCCTTTCCCACCCCCAACTTCAAAACATCTTTGATTTAGCAGTTTATCGGGTTTGTTTGTAGAAGGTAGTGTTTTGCTGTGTGCACATCAGTGATTTTGAGAAATGCTGTGTCCTCACTGATTTCAGTGGAGCTGGGGGTATCCAACACTTCCAAAAACGGGGCCGAGGCTTCTTATCCCCAAGCTGATTTGGCTACGTTACCAGCCAGAGGGACTGTCTGTAATACAAGAGGCCCATAACATATGCACTGAGCAGCTTTTAATTAAAGGATTTTTATTTTCAATGTAATTTATAGTTTACACTCTTTTCAGTGCTGAGTCTTCTGTCTGCTTGCCTGCTGTTATTTCACTGGTCATTTCCCACTGCTCGTTACAGTTTTACCACAGTAGTGACTTAATAGCAGCTGATCATTGCAAAAGCACAAGAAAAAGACAAGTAATACAAAGGCCCCGCATCCCTCTCCCGATTTAAATATAGCTGAATTTTACGTATATCTGAATCTTGCCTGGCTTCCAGGAAGGAGAGAAATGAACCACGTYGCTCCCAGTCCTCGTTTCTACTGTTTGCTTGTTTGCTTCACTGCCCGTCTCAAAAAAAAACCCTGTAAAGTCTCAAAAAACTTGTAAAGCCCCTAGTCTGGCAAAGCACTTTAGCAGATGCRTAGGGTTAAGCACTGGTAATTCACTGAACTAGTGGGGCCATTCACATGCTTAAAACTCTGCCCTAAAGATGTTGCAGGATCAGGGCTGAAGTCTGTCATCTTTTTTTTCTTTTTTTTTTTAATTAGATCTGCACCATTTTTCTGGCTTTAGGTCATGTCTCATATCCTAGTTTGGGAATTGCTTTGTAGGTTATGATCCAGGAAACACTTTCTACCAGAATATTTACTACAGAAATCAGTGACTACTAACCTGAGTGGCCACAAATTTCTGCAGCATATATTGAATTTCCTGGCCCTTAATCTCTCACTGAGAGGCTTTCCCAAGGCAAAAACCAAAGACAAAACTACAAGATGATGTTCACTTTAAATGTCTGTTGTGCAATTAAAATGTTCCTTTGTATTCAGATGTTTTTAATGGGAATTTTATACAGCTCCATCATCAGATTTTTGCCATTTAAGGCTGAACAGGGAGTAGTCAGGACATGAAAAGACCTCTTCTGCATTTGTTTTGGCTGGTTACTAAATTTATTTGGTTTCCAATATTTTTTCTCTGTGGGCAAAAAAAGAAACAAAGAAAGAAGAAATAATTTCACCACATACCTTGGAAAAAAACCAACCCAGTAACCACACTGGTGTAGCTGCCAGCAAGCAGCTTTTTCTTGAATAAGCAGAGCGGTTTCGCCTGCGCTGTCAACACCAATTAGCTGAGGGTTTTCTCTCCCACTTCTAAAGCTTTCTCAAGACATCGACCTGTGATAAGTGTCTGGCGTGACCAGAAAACGTTCGTGGTGCTTCTCGTGACCCCGTTCTTTCTTTAGGGGTTTTGGGAGGGAGTGGAGCGAGYGGATTCCCGGACACCCGTGGGACGTGGGGGCAGTGATGGAGCGCGGCTGCTTTTTACCCTCTCGCGAAGGCTTTGAGCAGCATCAGCTCTGGAGAAAAGCTGCAGGGACCCGTTTGCAGTCCTTCCATTCAAAATGCGAGCTAACTTTCTGGTTTGTGTTTTTCTTTTCAGTTTGTATATGATGTGACTTCCATGTATATATATATAAAAAAGAAAAAAAAATGACCRCGTCCTAACCAAACTTCCTCCAATTGTGCACTGTGTTTGTTTAAACGATTCATGTATTGTAGTCTGATGCAGGTTTTCTCTTATTTAAAACACTACATATTTTCTTTTATCCTTAACAAATCCTGAAAGGGTAGAGACCTGAAAACCACAATCACTGGATAGCTAAGAAATATTTCTGTGTTTTTGTTTTACTATTTTTTTTCCATTTGTTTGGGTTTTTTTTTTTTTATTATTATTATTATTATTATTAATTTAAAGAGAGCAAAAGGTGCCTGGACGGTTTTGCTCTTCTCAGCAGGCAAGTGAAATGTTAGCCATTGTATGGCCAAGAACCAATGCACTCGGGGCCTGGCCCAGAACCCACTGGAGCTGATGCGGAGCGATCCATGGACTGGAGCGTGCGTTGGCTGGAGCCCTTCCTGGCTGAGCAGTTCCTGCCTTTGCTGGAGTTTGAACTGGGAATCTTCTGTAGCGGAGACGAATCATCGCTTAGGACGTAAATGTTTAAAACGTGCGACTCTGTAGCTACGACGTCTGATTCTTGACACTCACTATTTAGTTCTCATTTTCCATCTAGTATTTAATGGTCTTTGGAGAAAAAAAATAATAAAACAGAGTGTTATATATATATATAAAAATATATATATTTTTGGTGCAAGATGAGACCTTCTGTTTTTTGAAACAAGTCTGTAGCATAAAGGTTAAACTATTTTAAGACAAAATAAAATAGAGTGTATTATTTAAACAATATTATCTTGTGTGGGATTTTTTTTTCCCCTTTTCCTCCAATATGCTGCTGTTTAACGTGTCTCTGAAATAAACCTTTCAAGATTGGGTTGCAGCCAGCCCAGTTCAGCRTGATTCCCTTCTGAAATGTGTTTGTTTTGAAAGTCTAGAATGTAAACGTGATAACAGAAGTTGGCTTTTATCTCCCAGACCAGGGCAAAACCAGCATTTCTGATTATCACGCTGGTAGGGAGTACCAGCACATACCAGCAGCAGTAACGGCAGGCCAGTGGCCATCGAGCCCTGCAGAGATTTGCTCCTAGCAAGGCGGTCATCATCTGGGCAGTCATCATCTTTGAGCACAAAATGAGCCTTTGGGTGCACGTGCTGCCTCCTGGCTGCTGCATCTGCATTTAAAAGGAGTGGGTAGACCAGGTCCTCGCAGAGCACGAGCGGGTTTGGGGACCACCAAATGCTAGTGGGGAATTTCTTGCTACAAAAGAGGGGAGTGGCGGTAAGTGTATGTTGCATTGTGATAAGCCTTGTGCCCTGTGTCCTGCCATTCTTCTCGTAGCTAATGCAAAAAGAAGAAATAATAATAATAAAAAGACAAAACAGCAGGATGTTTCCAGCTTGTCCTGTGGAGAAGGGAATTCGATTTAGTTCTGTTGTTTTCATTGAATGTGAAGGCTTTCAGTGGTATGAAAAAGGAGAGACATCCATTTATTTTAAATAGCAAGAAAATGCAAGGAAAGGTGGTTGATTTCTCAGCCCTTTGAGTTCCTGGCTTTTGTGCATCTTGAAAATACGAAGAGGGGGCCTGAGTGTTGTTTTGGATGCTGACAGAGGACTTGGAAATTCATTTCATGCCTACCAGCAGCCGAGGGAGAACAGCTGTTTGGTGCAGATGTGGCAAGGTGAGAGCTGATTTATCCCCTATGTCTTTCTCTCCACCACCAAGAGGCACTCTGAGCATTTGGGCATTAACACACACAGTGCTGAATGCTTTCAAAATTCCTCCTCAGTCCATCAGCACATCCCTTGTGGCTCGGGCTAGTTTGCTTTATGATGCCACTTGGTTTTGTGGGAACYGTCACCTCTGGGGTAGTAGGAGAACTGGCAAAAGCTTGCCAGGCAGCTTCGGTTTAGGTTGCTTTTCTCTGTGAAATCGTTGGAAAGCAGATTAATTTTTTGGCTGAAAACACAGTTTGTCTGTCATGAAATGGGAAATGAAAGCGTTTTGCTAAGTGGATTAGTTGACCAGTTCCCTGGAGGATCTGTAAGATCAGCATCCTTTCAGTGTGCCACTTCCACTTTCTGCAATATTACTTCTTTTTTCCCTTCACTTTTTAGGGCCATAGTTTGTGAATGTGAACTTGCTGAAACTTTCTCTCCAGGGCGCCACAGGACTGGAGCCAAAATCTGCCTTCTCTCTGCAAAGGAGCAGCACTCCTGTGAAATGCCAACGTGGGACGGACAAGTCCTGCATCTAATTTGATATTTGGGAAAAATAAGGTGAGCAGCCTCCTTTTACTGGAGTTTTCTCTTCAARGAAGGGGCTCTACGCTCCTATGAGGGCTGTAGTTGCTTCTCTCTCTATCTGTTCATGCTCAAAATTCATTTTTAATGACTTTAGATGGTGCAAAATGAAAGCAGAACTGCTGGAGTCTCACCAGCACCTCCTATGCTGGCTTTCCTATAGGTTGTCTCCAAGAAAACACTTCATCTGACCACGCTGAGGGCTGTGCTTGCCCTCTGCATGGCTCTGCAGTGCTGACAGCTTATATAGCCCCATAAGGGCCTCCAAACCTTCCCCAGTGTCTCTCTTGCCAGGTCGCCACATGCACCTTCATGTTCTCAAACTCCATGTCATATCCATCACTCCAGTTCCCCCATGCTCACCCAGGGCTGCATGAGTGAGGGCGATCAGTGATTTTTAGTAGAAAACACCAACTTTATATGCCAGAGTCACTCATGTAAAGATCCAAGTCACCTAGTTTCGAAGCTGATCTCTCCATGGGACTCCATCATGCAGCGCGGCCCTCCAGACTTCCAACCTGCAGCTCTTGGCACGCRGGATGTTTTTAACCACAGTGTTAGGCTCTGGAGGTGCTCCCACCTCCCCAAAACCCAAGAGCACCTTTGCTGCTGGGGTGGCAGTGCTGGAGGGAGGAGATGGAGGGCAAAAACCAAACACCCCTCTCAGGAGCAGTGGTGGCCGCTGAGGGACGGCCACTGAGGACACCTCACCGCGACGCAGCCACATGAGGCCCGATGGGCACATCTGGCCAACGGGAGGTTCTGCTGGACATTGGGACATGGCTCTTCACCCCAACAGGGGAATCTGCCGGCCCTGCGGGTGGTACCRAGGGGCCCTCTGTTGGTTTTGTCTCCACAGCCAGGCGCTGGGAGCGCAGTGGGCGCTCGCCATGTTTCGGCGTGAAGCTGCTCAAATGACTGGGTATTCCTTAGGCTGTGGAGAATAAGCAGGTGCCTACCCTTAATTAATTGATGATATGTCTTCTTYCTGTGGTGTGTCCTTCTGGGAGCAAGCCAAAGCGCTTGCAAGGTGCTTCCTCGCGGAGCGAGGCCTCGCCATTACGTGGTGCAGACAGTATGGCCGTGGGCAGGCCGGCGAAGCGGCGCTCTTGTACCCTCCCCACTGTGCTGTGTTGTTGTGCCGTTGTTTATATATTTTATTATGTTATGTTGTGTTATGGTGCCTTGGAGGTGCCACAATGCTGCATTCACAAGCAATGCTTTAATAAGCACGCAGGTGAGTGGGCCCCTTCACTGCCTTGGGCCTTGAGCTGCCACACCAGGGACGTGATTAAATGACAAGGAACAGCATGCTGCCCCACCAATGCCTCAGGGGGCCACAAAACCCTCAATATTGCTCTTAATTAACATTTTCCCCCGTCATTATGTCCACTGATTGCTACTGCAAGGTCAGGAACTGAGACTTAAGGCCTTCCCAGACTTGGATCCTGGGTTCACCATGGGCTTTGAGGTCCCTTGTCCACCTACAGTGACCAGGATGCAGGTGCTGTGGGATTGAAGTAGGTCACCTTGGGATGAATTTACTGCTACTCTGCTCTGTACTTTCCAGGGGCACAACCTGTCCTTGGCCCCTGAATTTATGTCACTTCGTAAGTGTCAACTTCTTGCCCTGGCGCTGTGGTGCAGAGATATATGGTGCCCATGTGATGGCAGGTGATAGACCACAGTGGAAGCAGGAGGAAGACAAACAGATGAAGGGATAGGACAGAGGAAGGGAGATAAGAAGGACAAGTGTTGATGGCACCCAAGCAGG